ACTGAGAATTATTGGATTTGATACCTGGATGATTGAGCATGAACTTTATCAATACCAACAATTGTCGAGGGGAAGGGGGAGTTCGGTAGACGGGCGTTCAGTTTCGTTGAGGGTGCGGGGAGCCCTGTTTGTATAATAGTAGGGGGAACACTGCCGATATATTACCAAATGCGCTACACACTGTTGCTCCATGCTACATCTGTGCCAAACGTGAAAGTGAAACTTAAAAGTGAACGCTCGTGACTTGAATGTAGTCTTCATGCGTCCTCAGCTGGATGCATTGTACAGCTGGTTCACAGCATTTTCAGGGTGAACGTTAGAAATGCTTGTATTGGTGCATATGACGCATAGTGGGACAATTGTCACCGATAACGATATGTCCCCAAACGTCTATATCGGTCCTGCCAATATGTTGGTCGGGCTCTAGTTTTGTTATGAGACAAGTTCAGAGAAGGTGAAGTCCGATCATATATTAGAAACTGCTAACTAACTGGAGAGTGAGCTACATTTAGGCACACAGTGAGGAAAAGTATTTGAGCACCTGTGAACATCACTGTTAATATTTGGTAAGGTCGTCTTTGTTTGCAGTTAGAGGTCAAAGGTTTCCTGTAGTTCTTCACCAGGTTCACTGCAGCAGGATTCTGGACCATTCCTCCACAGATCTTCTCTAGATCAGACAGGTTTCTGGGCTGCCGCTGAGAAACAGAGTTTGAGCTCCCTCCAAAGTTTTTCTATAGGGTTCAGGTCTGGAGACTGGCTGGGCCACTCCAGAACCTTGATCTGCTTCTTACGGAGCCACTCCTTGGTTCTCCTGGCTGTGAGCTTCAGGTCATCGTCATGTTGGAAGACCCAGCCTCGACCCATCTTCAATGATCTGAGGGAAGGAGGTTGTTCCCCAACATCTCTCAACACATGGCCCCGGTCATCCTCTCCTTAATACAGTGCAGTCGTCCTGTCCCATGTGCAGAAACACCCCCAGAGCATGATGCTTCCACCCCCATGCTTCACAGTAGGGACGGTGTTTTTGGGATGTACTCATCATTCTTCGTCCTCCAAACACGTCGAGTGGAATTAAGACCAAAAAGTTCTATCTTGGTCTCATGTGACCACAGAACTTTCTCCCATGACTCCTCTGGATCATCCAGATGGTCCTGGTCGAACTTCAGACGGGCCTGGACGTGCGCTGGTTTAAGCAGGGGAACCTTCCGTGCCATGCATGATTTTAAACTATGACGTCTTAGTTTATTACCCCACAGTAACCATGGAAACAGTGGTGCCAGCTCTCTTCAGGTCATGGACCAGCTCCTCCGTGTAGTTCTGGGCTGATTCCTCACCTTTCTTAGGATCATTGACACGTCACGAGGTGAGATCTTGCATGGAGCTCCAGTCCGAGGGAGATTGACAGTCATGTTTAGCTTCTTCCATTTTCTAATAATTGCTCCAATAGTTGATCTTTTTTCACCAAGCTGCTTGACAGTTGTCCCGTAGATCTTTCCAGCCTTGTGGAGGTCTACAAGTTAGTCTCTGGTGTGTTTGGGCAGCTCTTTGGTCTTAGCCATGTTAGTAGTTGGAGTATTACTGACTGTGTGGGGTGGACCGGTGTCTTCATGCAGCTAACCACCTCAAACAGGTGCTTCTGATTTAGAATAAGAAGTGGAGGTGGACTAACAGGTCTTTGAGGGCCAGAACTGTTGCTGACTGACAGGTGTTCAAATATTTATTTGCAGCAGTAACACAAATAAATTATTTAAAAAAATCTTACATTGTGATTTCCATATTATTATTATTTTTTTTAGATTATGTCTCGGTGAACATGCAGCTAAGATGAAAAATTCAGACCCTCCATGATTTCTAAGTGGGAGAACTTGCAAAGTCGCAGCGTGTTCAAATACTTATTTTCCTCCCTGTAAATAACTTAATGTTCATAATAAACTATTGATGTCTCTTTTTTTATTTTTTTATTTTTTATCACACTTTGGGTCAGTGACGACAATAAACCAACTTGAACTTGAGCTCAACGTTTGTAAGTTTATTTCTGCTCTGTGGTGTTTGATTATTATTTATTTTAGCAATCTGACTTTAATTTATTTGACGGTTCAGAGTTTCTTTCTTCTTCCTCAGGTCCAACCAGAGAACGTTTCTAAAAGTGAAGTTTCTTTGATTAAATGTGTAAAGTTAAACCGCACTGCAAGGTGTCATTACATGCTTATTAAGTGGATGCAATGTATAGACCATTATCATTAGTGGGAAACCTTGAAGGTCCATATGGCTAGTCTGCACTTACACACACACACACACACACACACACACACACACACACACAGTTATTTAGTCAGGTGGTGCCACTAGGATTATAAATACCTCACCAAGAAATCCTCGTAGTGCAAATATTTAGAGTTAGACCTCAGTAAAAGTAACTGGTGTGTATTTACAATCTAACTCTATCTGCTAATTATTTCCTTAATCAATATTTTAACATGTTACATTTTAAATATGTGCATAAGGAAGACGTTTACCATTTTTCTGAGTCTTTATGCAGAAAAGTGAATGTATTGAGTCAACAACAACTAATGGATAATTCAAATTATTGAAGCAGTCTTTGTAGCTTTGTCTTACTTTTATTTTAAAATCCACATTAAAAAGTTAAATATTTTTAGTGTATTTGTTTTTAATATACTGCATGTCTTGCACTGTACATTTCCAGCACGCTGGGTTTAGATCAAAATGACAAAATAATGTTTTTAGTTTATTCTTAAGAGTTCCTTTATTACCTGGTCTCTTCTCAGGCCGTCGGATACGCTCGTTAAACCAAAGTCTGGATTCAACAGAAATTCTTCAGCTTTCGAGTGTTTTTTGTTAATTTTTTCTCAAGTTGTCGAGTGTAAAGAGAGCGCGTGAGACGGATGTTTGCGATGTTTGGTTTTGCGTGTATCTGCTCATTCGTCCGAGTGGATTTTGTGCTCTGAAAGTTTTTCTCGCCCCTGCCTCAGAACTGTGACGAGCGGTTCCAGTACAAGTACCAGCTGCGCTCCCACATGAGCATCCACATCGGCCACAAGCAGTTCATGTGCCAGTGGTGCGGCAAGGACTTCAACATGAAACAGTATTTTGACGAGCACATGAAAACGCACACAGGTGAGGACTGAGCGCTCCTGTGCACGCCGAGGTGAACCAACTGTTGTTCCACGAGCGCTCGCTGCCGATCGATGCCGGTTTTTACAAATATTAAGACCGCAGACGAATTTTAATGAGTGTGAAGCTTTTTAAGAAACTAGAGGCTTCTACAAACACACCCCATTAATTAAGGAATGATTTATTCCAACTAGAGAAATTGCATTTCCTGCAAAAATGCAATGTGAATGCTTATTGCAGAAGAACCTGCTGAAAAACAGCTGAAATGAGCTACAAAAAATGATGAAATGGAAGAACAAACCTAAGTTAGTAGAAGAAAGCAGAAAGAACAGGTATTTACTGAATTAGGTTTAACTAAGAAAGTTGGCTGAAATTACCAAAAAAAAAAAAAAAAAGTCTGAAAGGCAGAAAGAAGCTTAAACTATCGGAAAGAAGCAGAAAAAGTTGAAATGAGCTAAAAAAAAAAAAAAAAGGGTGGAATTAGCAGAAAAAGCTAAAATTAGCATAAAACAGCTAAATAGTAGCTGAAATAGTAGAAAATGCTGAAACTAGCATAATTAAGCTGAAAGGGGTATAACGAGCTGAATTAGAAATAATTAGGCTGAAAGTAGCAGAAGTTACCACAAAAATCTTGAATTTATCTGAAATTTGACAGTTATCTAGCAAAAGGTATAAAGGTAGCTGAACAAGCTTAAATTAGTAGAAGAAAGCAGAAACGTTTGCCCAATTAGGCCGAAAGAATCAGAAATAAGCACAAAAAAGTGTAAATTATCTGAAAAAAGCCGAAATTAGCTAAATGAAAAGTAGCTAAAAAAAGCAGGAAGAAGCTTACATAACCAGAAGGAAGTGGAGAGAGCACATTGTTGCTGAATTAGGCTGAAAAAAGTTGAAATTAGTGGGGGGAAATGTAGAATAAGCTGAAAAAGCTAAAATTAGCATAAAACAAAGAGTAGCTGAAATAACAGAAGCAGCTGAAATTTGCAGAAATAAGCTGAGAGGAGCATGTGTTAAAATTAGCAGGAAGAAGTTAGAAGAAAGAATCAGAATGGAGCACAAAGCAGCTGAAAGTAGCTGGAAAAAAATTAATTTGCAGAAAGGAGCTGAAGCAGAACAAAATGTGAAAGGAGCAGTAAAAGGTTGTAAACACATCTAAAGAGCTGAAGGAGGTAAAATGAGCTCAATTCATTTTCTATGAGAAAAAATGTCAGAAAAGGCTAAATGTTTCAAAAAGCTAAAGTTGCACCAACACAAAAAGTCACAGCAGGATTGTCCTGAAAGAGCCGAACGTTTTGATTCATGATTTGTGGAAATGGCACAAAAATTGTGGAACGAGAACGATGCTGAAAAAACGTACGTAAGGAAACTGGATCACAACCGAGCGAACGCTTCATAAACGTTCACAGTGAATTAAATTTAAATTTCTGAATCAAGCAAAAATGAAACGCACTGAGCAGATTCTGACTCATGTCACGCAGGTTGGACATTTGTTTAGTCTGAAGTTTTCATCTTTGCATGTTTGGAGCTTTTTGAGAACATTTGTGCCTCCGTACGGACACTGAAGCTAAATCGGTTTGATTGTTTAAAAGTTTTTGTAATTTCTTAAAATACGCAACAATTTCTCTGTTCCTTAAACGTTGTCCTCAGCTCTTTAAATTTTAATTAGACCTTGATGGATTTTTACTCATTCTTGTTTTAATGTGCTGTTTAAATTAAATTCAATTCAATTTTTAGTGTTTTTTTATTAGAAGCGTTCCATTTCTTATAGATCTTTTCCAAACTACAATCGTCTTGGACGCTTCTCAGCCGCTCAGGCTCCGTGCGCGCTCTATAAAAAGACTTGGGTGTTTCTGTTTTGCCCTGTTTTTGCAATGAGAGGGACGTTTCACATCAAAGAGGAGCCTTGTGTATACTGTGGCTTCTAACGGCTACTCGTTCACATGAAGGCCTACATCCCCTTCGGGTTTTTGTCCATGTTGCACTAATGTTCAAGCTGAGCGGCGGTGCCTCCTCCACTGGTTTTCCCGAGCCGTGGGTGGAAACGCCACACTCCCTTGGCCCTCACGGTTCCATTTGAGATGTGTAATTATGCTACCCTCGTATCCTTGCAGCTACCGACCAATTTAGCCTCGTCCACCGGGGGACACACCCAGTCCTGCTCTGTAATAAGTCGCTCGAGCGTCAACCAAAGTCTGGCTCGACGAGCGCAGGCTTTCTGTGAACTCTTGTGAGCAAATCTAGCAAATGCAGGAGGCTAGCGCGTCAGCTGTCACCTTTTAATATTCAATTGGTGGAGCAGCTTCACACATAACATGCCAGAGTGAGCATTAGAGGGCCCTTCAGCGGACTGTTAATAGATGGCTGCGTGGGTGGTAACAGGCACATTCAGTGGCTCCGTGGAGGGAGGTTAATGAGAGCGGCATTCTAGCGGCGCTGCTGTTGTTCACTTTCACATCTTCAGTTCTCAAAGTGTGAATTGTAATAGCTTTCCGGGGAGTGGGTGGGTTGACAGAAAAGACCATCACTTCAAGATGGCAACTGAAAAAAACAAAAAGCTGAAATGAAACGGGGGAACTTTCTGTGAAAAGCTTTAATCGCTTGGAAGTTGAGCAGAACGTGTGACAGCAAACGATTTGATTCTGATGCGTCGTATTCTCCGTCTGCTCCGGGTTTTTATTTTTATCTCGCTAATTGACGGACTGTCTCTTATGTTTGGTATTGTCTTCGTGACTCTGTGCAGGAGAGAAGCCGTTCATTTGTGAGATCTGTGGGAAGAGCTTCACCAGTCGGCCCAACATGAAGCGCCACCGCCGCACCCACACCGGAGAGAAGCCCTACCCCTGTGAGGTGTGCGGCCAGCGCTTCCGCTTCTCCAACATGCTCAAAGCTCACAAAGAGAAGTGTTTCCGGGTCACCAGCCCCGTCCTGCAGCCTAGTGGGCCCCCCGTGCCTGTGCTCCTTTTCACCAATGCCTTCACCTCCTCCACTTCCTCCACCCCCGGACCTGGCCCCTCAGCCGTCACTCCGGCCACCACTTCAGCGTCTCTGGGCCTCAGCCCAACCGTCGGGGCCGTCCCTCCCCAGGCTCCAGTCGGACACACGTTTTCCCACGTGCCGCTCCACTCCTCTCACCATCATTCCCACACAGCAACAACCCAGCAGCACCTCTCAAACCCACTCCAACAGGCCCCACCTCACCCCCACCACCATCTGGTCGTGCCCCCCGTCTCTCATCTTCCCCCTCCCCCAGCTCTTTTTAAGAGCGAGCCCCTAAACCACTGCGGCCATGAAGACGGCGGCTACCTGCACCACATGACCCCTCATGACAAAGGCCCCGGAGCCCCGCAGCACCACTGAACTGGCTCCCAGCTCTGCAGGCGGCGCCCCCGCCACGCCTTCTCGTAGTTCTGCCTCGATTTAGTACCTGCCACGCCCCGGCGGCACCAGTGTTCCAGTGCGCGGTACTCGGAGACGGGGGGTGCTTTCAGGCACCGGAGTGAGACGTTTTGGAAGTACTCAAAGTAAAATGGCGTATAATTCAAAATAGGATCATATCTGTTGGACACGCGTGACGCAGACGTTCTGCCTCGCAGATTTAAATCAAGCTAAACACGTCTGTATGTGTAAAAGATTCAGACTGTTCCACCCTCGGAGGATACGTTTAAGTGAGACCCCACTTTAAAAACTGGTCAAACGACAGATTTTATAACCTCAAAGTTTTGTCTTGAGCATTTTCTCCTGTAGAAAATGATTTAGTGTCTTTCTCTTCGTGGATGGGTGTAAAATTCTCGTTTTCATCTGAAGCTGCTGATGGAAGTCGGTTCATGTGGGTTTCGTTCGTCTCGGTGGACTCGTGTTCGTGTCACGTTGACTAGAGGTCATGGATCCGTCGGGACTTGAGTTCTGTTTGCAGCTCCTCCTCGTAGCAATACTCCACCTCCTCGAAGTCCAACTGCAGAAACCTCGAGAAGCCGCAGAAATGCTTAATGAATGTCGTAACTGGTTCTGCCAAAGGCCAAGATCAAGGCTTTCTGTCCCAGGGCCAGTGGCAGTTGTGCAACATGCAGTGCCATAGGAGAGAAATTGGGGCGGGATTTTCTTTTTTTAATAAAAAAAAAAACAGAAAAGCGGTTTTGTAAGTGTTGAATCTAGACAAAGTCTGAGATTTATATTATAATTAATAATGGTGCTTTCCATTCCATTCCATAGATTTGCTCTTTTCAGCTAAAATAGATATTTGTGATCAAGACGACTTTAATTAGTCTGGATCTGCCCGGGACACGCCTGCACACCTTCATGACATCATCCCTTCACTGGTTTACTGATCAGTGCCACCTCAAGCTTTCAGGACTGTTGAGCAGCAGCTGCTTTTAGATCGCAAACAACTCAAAAACTGCCACTGTGAGGGGCCAGACCTCGACTGACCCCCCCCCCCCCATCGCTGCTGTTGAAATGATACGGGTTGTCATCTGATACACACAAGGTATACACAACTGGGACCTTTTTCTGTCAAGCTCTTAATGGGAAATTATGCATTATTCCTTTCAGCCTATATTTCAGAGTTGGGGGGGGGGGGTTGTTTTAATGTTCGACTTTCTGTCTGTCAACACGTTGAATGTTGCCTAAGCTGGTTCATTTTTTACGTTCTCTGATAATTTACTGGTTTTTAAGCTAATGAATGGCCCGTTGTGTAGATAATACGGTTCTTAGCACAAGAGGAAATGCCGGGATAAGTTTTTTTATTTTTTACAAATAGGCGTACGGTGTGCGTGATAAAATGAGAATTTATGATTTTTGAGTTGCTTCGTGAATTCTTCCCTCCTCGGATGAAGGCCCCGTTCAGACTTTACACCAACAACTTTGACTGAGAGCGTTCGCACCTGCGCGTTTAAAACGAACGTCGGCTGATACGGTTTTATTTTATTCTGTTTGATGACCGGTCTTTAGGAATCGGGGCACTCGTATGCCAATATACTTTTTTTTTTTTTTTTCCTGATCAAAATGTATTTTCTATTTAACATAAATGGAGTTGCATAACACAAATAAACCTGTATTTGACACTTAGAAGAATTGGACATTTAAATTATATATAGGAGCGCGTTCTTGCTTAAACAACTAAACTGTGCTCCAGTGAGCTGGTTGTAGTTGATACTACGTGTTAATTAGTTCTTTAATTTATGTGACAAATATTAAATTAAAGCAGCTGACCAACTCATCTCTGCCCCAAAACATTTTTGCATTGGGTGTCGGTTTCCTGCTCTGTGTGCAGATACACACAACCTCTTCACAGCACGGTCTGCTCATGTTTCTATAAAACTTAATCTAAATAAGGCTGCACAATTAAAAAACGGTTTAATGTAACGAGGGTGAGTCAGGTCCTCTGGAGCTTCTTCTTTGTCCAACAAACTTCTTCAGTCTGAGGAGCTGCAGCAACCAGTTGTCTAATATTTATAATAAGACGCATATAAGATCTCCTCGGGGTCGCCACAGCGAACCAACTCGCACAAGGCGATTGTTTTGCCCTTCCTGACGAGACCACCGAGCTGAGACCACCGAGCTACCACAGCCCCCTGTGGAGCAGGGAGCTGCCGTCTAAGGCGCCCGGGGTGCAAACGAGGGTGGAGGCAGGTGTGGGTGCTTCACCTTTCCTACTCGCATTTTGATGTCATCAGTACGGGAAGTCGAACCGGCGACCTTCCAATCACAGGCTCGCCTTCTCTAACCTCTGCACCACCACTCTCCCCCCGCCCCGCCCACCGCCCCCACGCCTCCCCTCCCCACCCCCCCCCCACACCACCGCCCCCCCCCCCCCCCCCATATATAAGCATGCAGCACACGAACGCACGGTGCCTGAAATGTACTTATCTGTGATTTACTGCACGCCCGGCGCTCCTTTGCAATATCGATTTTGCTCCCTGACTTTGTGACAATAGATTTTGGATAAATTGTGCAGCCCTAAATAAATAAAAAAAACACTTAGGAGCCATTTGAGTCGCGTCTTAAAAGAGCTATTTGTCACACAACTCTTAATATGTTAAAATACCCAACACATAAAACGACGTGTTTAAGGTCCGTGTCGGAGCAAAGACTGAAGAGTGACCCTCTGTGAGCACTCGGGGTCCAATCAGCTGAAAACAATCAGAACATGCACGAAGAGGAACAGCATGCAGCTTTAAGACTGCATGGATAAAAGGGGTCCGGTCCACCCGAGTGAAGGTTTCTCTGTGTATTTGTTTGGAGTTATCCAACTGATCGAACAGGATGGATGTTCGTTCCAGGTCTGAACGGGGTCTTTTCGAGTGTTTGTGGTCGTTAACGTCAGTCGTAGCCAAACTCCGCGTTCCCAGTGCTCTTCTACCAAACGCTGCTCTTCGAGTGTGCCCCAACGATGCGTGTAAGGGGGGGGGGGGGGGACTACCGGAGACGTTCGACAGCAGTAAATTAACAACCGTTTCCTGCCGCTCAGACGTTCTTCAGTCTGAAGTGATTAAGCTCAGTGGTTTAGTTCCTTTTTAATGTTTTCTATTTCAGACCTGCAGTTGTCCTGTCGTCTCTGTGGGGTCTTAACTCTGCTGCAATATTCGTTATCAGTCCCGTTCGGATCGGCGGTTTGCATTGTGGGTCTTTCGTCTTGTTTTTTTTTTTAAGCCTTTTCATGTGTCTGCACTTTACTGCTGCGTGGGTGAGGCGCAGGGAAATGGGTAAGGGGGTGGGTGGGGTGGAACTGAATGCAGTTGTGGCTGTTTGTGGAAAAGGTGGAGGTGATTCGTTTGAGTGGATGTTTTAAGGCAAGGAAAGGAGGGGGGGTGAAAGGGACCATGGCTAATAAAGGACGATTCTTTAAATCTATTTTCACCCAAATTAAATATACAAATAATTGAGTGTGCAACGTGAGAGCGATGCCCCTCCTCCACACAAACCTCTCGTTCGATGTCTGATTTTATTTTTATTTTTTTGACGTCTCGTTTTGCAGAACGATCCTCCTCCTCCTTTCTTTGTTATATAGAATGCACTTTCTACTAAAATCCTTGGGTAGTTAAGTAAAAATAACATTGTATATTCTTTAAAGATGTTTTTAAAATAAATCAATATACTTTCCTCTTTGTATTTTTAACCACTTGATGTAGCATCGCATATTTTATTATTGTATCTGGTACAAAATGTGCAGCTTTATAATGTCCCGGTTTCTTTATTTTTATTTTTTCCGTATCTGGAGATGGAGGAGTAGACAACGTTGGACCTTTTTTTTTTTTTTTTTTTTTTTTGATAATGTACATTTAACTGACTGCTAACTTTTGAGAAGTAAAAAAAAAAAAAACAAGTAGCCAAGATGACTGTGTTTGGACTTCTTTTATTTTGAAATCCTTTTAATTTCTAAGAAAGGAATAACAAAATGTGGAGCAATAATTGTGCGCAGCGTGCTCCTGATTATAGCGTTCTGCTTTCGGAGCTTTGCTCAAACCTGTGGATTATAGCCGATTGTTGCAACTCGACGCTCGTACTGTGCTGCTGTTCTGCTATTTTCAGTTCTCTGGGCTCGTGGTGGAACGTGTTCCCTAACGTCTGCTGGCTGCACATGACCCTGGAGGTTCTCGTTTTTCAGAGCGTTCAATGAATATAGGATTCTTTTCACGTACTCCTAATTAGAACGTTGCGACACTTCGCTGCGCAAAAGCAAACGGTTGTTTTGGACCGTGCCGCCAGTGAAAGTATCTCAAACCACTGGATGAATTTTAATGAGACGTCCAGGTGACTGGCTGTACCGCTACAAATTCAGTTCAGTTTATTTATAAAGCACCGAGTCACAACAGAAGTCGTCTCAGGGACTGAACAGAAACATTCATGTATAAAAATAATAATTTAACATTATTTATGTGAGGAGCAGACTGCTTTCTGTCTAACTCCATCACAGAACTCTCATCTTGAGCAAGCACGAAGGCGACAGTGGAAAGGAAAAAACTCCCTCACGAGGAAGAAACCTTTAGCGGCATCTGCTTCGACCGGCTGGGTTTGAGAGGAACAGATACACAATGGCAGGTGAAGAATCACATGTTAAGATGGAAATAGCATCAAATGGGGGAGTGGTGGCGCAGAGGTTAGAGAGGTGGGCTTGTGATCCGAAGATCGCCGGTTCACGCCCCGGCCCCGACGACATCAAAATTGTGGGTGGGGTAGGTGAAACACCCACACTTGCCCCCACCCTCATTCGCCCCACCCTGGGCCCATGAGCAAGGCCCTTAACCCCACCATGTGCTCCCTAAACAGGTCTCTCTTGAAAATGAGTTCCCGTGGCTCAATGAGACTAACCTGGATAAATAAAGGCTAAATGAAAAAAAAAAATAGCATCAAATGAAAACTATTCGATTTTAACAATTCATTTAAGGAAACGAGGTCAATTTGTCCTCTAGTAGTCTAATCCTATAGCAGCATGACAACCCTAACTATAGGATTTATCAACAAGGAAAGTCTTCAAACTGGACAATGTGTCAGCCTCACGGACAGAAACTGGACGTTGGTTCCACAAGAGAGGAGCCTGAGAACTGAAAGATCTTCCTCCTATTCTGCTGCTGGAAACTCTAGGAACCACAAGTAAACCTGCAGTCTGAGAGCAAAGTGCTCTGTTAGGAACAATAATATCTGTAATTTAAGCTGGAGCTAGGTTGTTGGGGGCTTTGTAGCTTAGAAGTAGGATTCTGAACTTGACGGTGAGTCAATGGAGAGAAGCTAAAACTGGAGAGATATGATCTCTCCCACTAACTCCAGTTCAGACTGGCAGCAGCAGGGTGCCTGCAACAATAACTGCAGCTGTTTGTTAGCATAATATCAACCGCTGCAGGGATTTTAATGAAACTTTCAGAACATAATCGTTGAATAGATTGATTACTTTTTGAGTCTGTTCACTTGTAGACGACTGCCGCAGACAAAAGACTCGAACTAAAATGTGCCAAAAAACGCACACGTTGCTGTAAATGAGTACATTTTACAGATCTTGAGATGCTCATCGTGCATCGTCGTATAAAACATCGTTTTCAAGGTTTGACCCAAACGGCCACAGATGCGTCATTCCTCAACGTGGCACGATCGTAGCTTGAACATCTGGCTCGAGAAGAGGCGGCTAAACCTCCGCTTGGTAAAAATAAACTTAAATGACTCTGTTCTTTCACCTCCACTAACTTCTTCCTGTCTGAAGGAGCTTTACCTCCGTTTCTTAAAGCACATTGGGGCATTTACCTCCTGGATGTTCTCCTGTTTTTACAGGTGCTTTTAAGTTTCACAGTAATGAGTCATATAATCCTGTAAGGTGGTACAGAGGAGTGACTCACTGGTGGTGAGTGGGTGGTCAGGTAGCAGGGCTCGCTTCATGAGCACAGGAGATAATAACACACTGTCTGTGCATCGCTCCATCCCCATTTGAGTTTGAAAATAGCCGGCCTCCCCAGCTGTTAGTCATTACGCCTTCTGGCGTCGAGCAGGGAGGAGGGCCGCCTCTGTCAGCGGGCAGAGAAAGAGAGGGGGGGCTTCTTCACGCCGTGTTGCTGTGCGCTTCATTAATCTGTGCAGGGTTTCATCGAGCCCACTGTGTCGTGGAGAATGAAGCAAACGCCTCTCGCAGCGACCTTAATGTCTCACGGTGGTAAATAAATGGAAAGCCAATGTTTACGTTGGATTCATAATGTGCGCAGGAGACATTCGAGGTTAATCTGAACATGGAGAGAAATGAGCTGAACCCAGGCTGGAGGAGGTTCCTGTCAGGACTCCTAACATCTCAACCGCTTTGAGAAAGCAGCGATTATTTATATCTGTTTGGTTGATGTGCTCTATGCCCCCCCCCCCCCCCCCCTTCCCCTAAAGAAGCTTAGCAAGATGTCCCCCGCTCCCAACACCGCCAAGAGCCAAACGTTAATTTTGTTTGTACCTCTTAGAGGTGAGTTGAGAAATGTTTTTTTTTTTTTTTTTTTTGGGGGGGGGGGGGGGAGACTTGGCATGGTTTTTGAAAAGGGAGTCAAATTCATTATCACAAAATTTATTATAACTTCTATTTTTTAATGAATCAGATACACTTTGTGTGTTACCTGCCGCCCCAGCATCCACTTTGAAGGATTGGGGGAGGGGTCTTGTCTTCTACAGGTCTGATTGACAGGTAAAACCGTTTTGATGTGTGTGTGGGTGGGAGTGGGGGGTGTGTGGTGGTCTAAATCAGTTAGGATTGAGACTGAAGCTCTGCAGACTTTTAACATAAAAAATACAAATGCTGAGATTTTTTTTTCCCCAATATTTATTTTTATTTAAATATTTTAACCTTTTATTTTACCAGGAAGAAATCCACTGAGATTATAATCTCTTTTCCAGTAGCATATAAACTGCCCTCTAGAGCCGCCACTGGTGTCTGTAGTGTTAGCAAAATATCTCCCAATAATCCCTGAATGTACATAATTAATTAAAGAGTGAGCCTAATTGAAGGAAACCCCAAACTGGTAACTCTGAGTTTTACAAATATTGAGCTAAAGTTTGGTGTGGTAGTAGCTGAGCATCATCACGTGACAGATTCAAATGGGAGTAGCTCGTTTCTCCTGCAGAGCCTTCACTTGGTTCTGGTTCTGGTTCTGATCAGAGAACAAATACTGAAACGTGCACGACAGTTCTCTAGATTTACTCAGGAACAAGAACATTTTCTTTGGGTCGTGTCTTTTTCTTTCTCTCCTCCAGAGAAGGTGTCGTGAGCGCGCGCAGTGGGCGGACCTGAGAGCGCAGGGCGCGTTCACGGCGCGTTTGGAGCGGTACATAAAAGAGTCCGCGACCCGCCGGCCGGTGGACTACAGACCGGATCGGACCTGACGGACTCCGGGACCCGAACCACCGCCGGTGATGCATTTAAACTTCTATTAACTTTATGATTTTAAAACCAAAATCTTTAAATGATTTTTTTTGTTTCACTGTGTGTGTTTTTTTTTTGTTTGTTTGTTTTTGGTCTAGGATGAATCAGGTTAGCAGATCATTTCAGAGAACATCTTAACCTACAAGGATTTCTATTTCTTGTGTGCAAACCTTAATTACCAACAGATTAACGCTCATTAACCCTATTCTATTAGTATTTTATTAAAAATCTCTTTTCTGCAGATTAACAGTTGTGGATTATTCGCCATCGCCGCGACAGATTTTCGTCATCAGTAAAAAATGAGGAGGGGGGAGAGGGGGGGGGGGTCGTTTTGTTCTTTTAAAGCCATTAAATCTGAAAATGACCAGAATTAAACTGACGCTGCTTTCAGCCAATGACGAGAAGCGGAGCCTCAGCGTGAGCCAATCAGAGCAGAGCAGGGCGGGGCCTGATGGCTGACTCACGGTGAGCTCAGGTGAGAGCAGCAGAGGACACTCCGCTACCCGAACAGAACCGGTCGCCCCTCCGTGAAGATGATGACGTAATAAATTATTAAACTTCTTGACACGTGACCAATCAGCAGCCGGGGGGAGATACCTGAGCTTACCCTCCTCCCGCACCGCGCCACCTCCCGGGACCTCTATATAACTTTGTATTAAATGGTAATGTGTTCAGATAGTAATCATGTGCAACACGCGCGCGTGACCGAAATCCGGGTCTGAGAGAGACGATGTGCGCCGCCGCGGGAGCGCGCAGCCTGTTGAGCGTTTAAGAGGCAGTTTCTGCTGCTTTTGCATTTGTAAACCATAATAATATTAATATTTAAATACCTCAGATTATAGAGATGTGTGTATTTTTTCCTCAAAACTCATAAATTTCTCTGTGAAAGTTTTTCAAGGTGTTTCATCATAAATATTTTTTTAAAAATTAGTTCTACACATTGTTTTAACAATAACTTCATATATTTGGAGGCTGTTTGGATGAGCTAAACTTGATCACTGTGATAAATGTAATTTAATAAGTGATCAAATATGAAAATAAATAGTATTAAATTAATACATGAGCTGAAATCCTGTAAATATAATCCCTTTGAATTAATTAATCATTTTAGGGTAGAAATCTGTCTAAGTTAATTTATACTCTTCAAAGGACTTTCTGTGCTATATATATATATATATATATATATATATATATATATATATATATAAACTAGAAGAGTTAAAGCCCGTCGCTTCCTTCAGAATGATCTTGATGCAGCAGGTTAAAGTTTTCTTAGCTTCAACACTTCATTAGAGAACACGATACTGTGTACTTTTACTAAGGTCATGTACACAGTATACTGCTCTTTACATGAAAACCTTTGAGAAACCTGTATATTTTTTCTGCTTTAATCCATGTGTACAGCTTTTGTTTTTAACAACAGTCCTTTGAGAATATGCCTAATTAAGTATATAAATGTATATAATTAGATTATGAAAAGGTTTTTAATTGACCTTTGGGCCTGATTTTTAAATGTGTAATTAAAGTGTAACTCCACATGATGCTTTCTGTTCTGATTTCTCATAACTGGAATGTTTTTTTTATTTGATTTATTTTTATCTTTCAGGCTCAACTTTGGTTGATTCAGGTCAAGAGAAGAAATCTACGGTATGCATGACGTACGATCATGTGTCTATCGTTGATCGTTTTGCAGACTTCACTCCCTGTTTTATGCGCTCGTGCTTCATGATGACTTTCGTTCTTTCACTTGTTTTGTAATTGCAGACCTTTTAAAAAAAATAAATAAATCATACACCAGCTGAAAGACGCCTGCTCTGGGCTACTTGTTAAAGGTGCTCTGCAAATAATGAAACCAAACATAAAGTGGTTCTCCTGGGTTAGTTTTCCAGGTTTGTTGATCTGCAAATTGGACCTGCAGGTCTGCACTCAATGTAAACAAAGCCTTTGGGTGAATCCGCCAACATCCAGCGTGAGTCATGTGATTAGGCTGGCTATAGGTGAACGTATGGCAGGAATGGACAAGCGTAGAATCTCAGGGAAGACTTTCAGGTGAAAATATGAGTAAATCTGCTGCTGAACAAAAACGATCAAAAGAAAGACTGAATAAGACGACGGCCAAGCGGAAATACAAGTGATCAAGCAGGGTGGTGCAGCACCATCAGGGTTCAATTAAACCTCTGCTAGAGAGGAAAATTTACTGTTTGACCTGTTTCAGTCACTTTGGTTGTTTCAGTAAATAAACACGACGTGTCGTTTTCAATTGAGGACATTTACAATCGACTTGAAAGAGTATTGAGCGGATTACGTCTCTTTATGAATCTATTCGTCTGGCTTTACTTTGCAGTTGTACATTAAAAATACTTTTCATGGTTTTATTTTTCTCTTAACTTGGTTTTATTTGCTGCCACCCAACTTCTCAGCTGTCTGGTGTTTGAGTCACCTTCTGATCTTGTGCACTGGGGGTGTGCAGATGTAACTGACAACATTTCTTGTGCCAGTCTTCAACTGCTGTTTTGTCCCACCTCACCCCCCAGGCAAGGAGGAACCCCACAGGTCCCGGAGGTCAGAGGTCACCATGGCCTCCCGTTCGGCTCACATCTCCTCAGACAAGCGCTTCCTCATCTTCTTTGACTTTGACGAGACCATCGTAGACGAAACCAGCGATGACATGGTGGTGCAGACCGCCCCGGGTCAGCACCTGCCCAGCTGGCTGAAGGACACCTACGAGCCCGGCCGCTACAACGAGTACATGCAGCGCGTGCTGGGCTACCTGTCGGAGCAGGGCGTCACTGAGAGCGACCTGCGCGGCGTCATGGAGAAGATCCCCGCCACCCCCGGGATGCTCAACCTCTTCCAGTTCCTCCGCATGCGGCAGGACTTCGAGGTGGTGCTGGTGTCCGACTCCAACACCTTCTTCATCGATTCGTGGCTCCGACGCGCCGGGGTCCGCCAGCTCTTCCACCGGATCTTCACCAACCAGGCCACCTTCAACAGGAACGGGCGGCTGATCCTGCGGCCCTTCCACTCCCACGACTGCCAGAGGTGCCCCGTCAACATGTGCAAGCAGGCGGTCGTCAGGGACTACGTGGCGCGCAGGACGCAGGAGCGCGGTCGCCCCTACCAGAGGGTCTTCTACGTCGGGGACGGGGCCAACGACTTCTGCCCGACGCTCTTCCTTGGCACCCATGATGTGGCCTTCCCGAGAAAGCACTTCCCCATGCACCAGCTGATCACGGAGACCCACGAAGCCACACCTGGGGTGTTCAAAGCGGTGACGGTGCCGTGGGTCAACGCAGAGGAGGTGATGGCGCGCCTCCGGAAACATTTGGCAGAGTAGAGAGTGGGTCGGGGGGGGGTGAGTCCAGCCGGTAACTTTAGGCCATAATCTCAGGTAAAATTGTCAGAAATTTAATGTTCAAGGCAATAAAGTTCATGTCAGGGCTGACGATATATCAAGAATTATCATCGTAACATCAGGGAGCGCAACATCTGCAATAAGTCCTCGACAAATATATTTAAAGTACCGTGTGTTCATGTTCTGCATGTTTGATACATTCGGTGAGTCCAACAAGACTCCCCTTGAGCCCCACACCTGGTTTACATGAGAGCCGTGACGGAAGAGAACTCGGGTTTATAATAATAATAATAATAATAATAATGTGTATGTGTTGTCATCATTTATGTTCCCATAAAATGGTGAAATTGGTTCTCTGCATTTAACCCTTCCACCACCAGGTGGTGCAGTGTGCAGCTGTGGAAAGCACCCGGGGAGCAACTGGGGATAAGGTGTCCTGCTCAGAAACACCATGAGATGTTTATCGTGCAGCATTAAATATCGCACGTCAAGTTTTTCTAACACGCAGCCCTTCTGTGTGTGTGTCACTCCTCTATCCAGTGTTTCGGTTACAGGTCGTCTGACCTGGATCATAAAACCCTCGTGGTCTAAAGAGGAAGTGTCAACTCAACCTAAAGTTAATGTTTTAAAAGTTAAACAAACCCTGGAGTCACAAAGACTTGTAGAGGATTTAATGAGACCATAAATGTATCGTTTTGCACGTTACAGGCTAATGCAGAAGTTCTTGTATTTACTTTTGCAGGATGTTAAAAGATTATCGTTAGGAGCTCCTTGATAATATTATTGAGTGATTTCCTGAAAAAACACTTTTTCAAATGAACCGATTAATAAATTATAACTTCTAGTTCCACAAAAGTGATAACAGCGACCTGATGTGCATTTAAACAATTCAATGTATTCAATGTTTTTAATCAGTTTAACAGTTTGTATTACCAATGTGTGTGTTTGTGTGTCACGATTTGTTCCTGTAACTTGTTTCCGTTTTTGTTCTTACTATCTTTGTCCTACAAAATGAAAAATAAAATAAAATAAAACGCACCAGCAGGAATAAAGCCATAACCTGAAACACCGTCTGTGACTGAATTATTAAAACAAAATCCACTTTAAACTTGTAATTCATGGAGCCATTTTATAGGAAGCCCAGCTGTAATTACTTTATTTTTCCCTACAAAGATTATGAAAAAACATAAGTCATCTCTTCATTCTTTACCCTTTGCTTCAAGCAGCTAGACCAGGGGCTACCTTTGCGATAAAAATAAACATTTTTGCCACTTCGCTTATTAATTACGATGTCCGGAGCTGCAAAACCTGCTCCAACTGCGTCAACTGGTGGCTCATGGGCCACTAGTTTGTTGGAGATGGCTTTTTCAGCCAGTGGGGGTGATATTATAAAATGAAAAATGTCTATTATTATCATTTATTGATATTTTTATATTTTAATACAAAAGATAAGACCAGATTCATGTAAAGAAAGAAAAAAATATATAATTTTAAACTATTAAATCACAGAACTCTGCAGTTCTCTTAATTGCTGAAGAATTCAGTATTTTACTTAAAGCATAAAGTTATAGAGAGCAGGTCAGTTTGTTGGATAGCTAATTAAATTTTTAAAGAAAAAAAAACATTATTTTGACTTTGATCTTTTGTCTTTTATTCTTCGAATCATCAAATATTCCTTCTCAGCAACTTGTCTTAAAGATATTCCAAAACATTCTCAAGGTTTTGAGAGAAGGATCACGCTGAGAGACTGGAAGTTGACTTAAAGTGGCTAACAAACCGCTAGCATGATGTTTTATGCCATGTATTTGTACTATTCTTCACATATTTGAAAATGACAGGAAATCTGATAAAACTTGCCATTTTCATTGTTGCCAATAATTAAACTAAAATTCAGTTTTATTTTGGTTTTGATCAAAGCCTGAAAGAGCCGCTGCAGAGGCACCAAAGCGCCACATGTGGCTCCAGAGCCGCAGGTTGCGGACCCCTGAGCTAGCCCTTCTTGTAATCTTTCAAAATGTCAACTTTTTTCAGGCAGTCTTTCTGGTATTTTTTTATCTTTTTTTTTTTTTTGTATGGCTGCTTTTTCACTCAAGAGTGGATTAATGTTGATAACAAAAGACAAGTCAGATAACAGATCAAACAGTTCTTTGAGCATTTTTATGCTTGAATGATTAAAGTCATTTTAAATCGTATCTTTTGGCACTTTGTTACCTGCAGCCATGATTTGTTTCCATTTGTTTAGTTGAGTGTATGAATATGATCAAGGATAACAGTTTGACAAACAAAAAAATAACATTTTAGCACAAAGAAGTTGATTCCCAAATATTTATTTGCTGAAAACTTGACATGATCAGTTAAAGGATGATGAATTCCTCAGATCTTGATAGTGCAGATTTTGTTCTTTAAATCTCAGGTGCTCTGGACTAAACTTCTAGATTTCTGAGGATGCTTTCGATCTGTCCAGGGTGTCCCCCGCCTCTCGCACAGTGACTGCTGGATATGGACACCAGTGACCTCCGTGACCTGAAATGGAAGAAGCGGGTAAAGATAATGGACGGATGTGGATTGTCTGCTTTTAGGACTGACGCTCTTTTAGCCCTATTGTCCACAGCTTGAACTTTCTTAAAGCACATTTTGTGCAATATCTTGTCAGTACAAGAGTTGGGGAGAACATTCATTAAAAACCAGCTAAGGTCTAAGAAATGTATTCAAAGAACCTTCAAAATCCTTCATAACTAACTAGAAACGACAAAAGACTCTGCACAGTAATGTAGGTTAAAATGTGTTTGTTTGAAATGATGTTAGGTCACTTCGTTGCATCAGTTTGTTCACCATCAGTTCTGCACAAGTTCTGCAGGCATAAACTTATTCAAAGTTAACGTTGAACATAATATATCCCGAAAGCAAATGTGCATTGCCATCTAGTTGTTACAAAAGGTAACTACAAATTTCAAATGTTTGAGATATTTTGTCTTTTAAAATGGAGGAATTTATGCATCTTTTAGGGCACCAAATGGAGGTTCAAAACTATATATTTGTTATACTTGCTATATGTCTGTTGTTATTTCACACGCAGCTGAATTATTTTATGTTGGTAGAAGCCTTAATTAGGCATCTGAGTTAACTGGGGAGCAGGATCTGCTTTCCACCAGCAACCTTTAATATTCAGTTCAATTTCAATTCAATTAAGTTTATTTATATAGTGTCCATTCACAACAGAAGTAATCTCAGGGCACTGAACGAATACATTCACGTACATTATAAATGCCATTAATAAAGTTATATATTTAAGGAAGGAAGGATACAACCTTTAGTAAGTAGCAAAAATAATGTTAGAATATATATATATCCTACATGTCTCTACGTGAGTGCAGCTACAGCGTGCGCTCTCAGGACATTATTACCTGCAGTGTTCCCTCAGTGAGGACTGAACTAGACAAAAGGAACTTCTCCTACTCCGCTCCTGTTTCTTGGAATATTTTGCAAAAAGATCTGAAGCTCTCGACCTTGACCTTTAAGTGGCTTTAAGAATCTGTTGGACTCCTGTCGGGGACCAACGCAGACATGTACCTGTTTTTAGTTTTCTGCATTCGCCTTGTAATCTTGCTGTTTTTGTTACTTTTTTTTGTCATCTTATTTGTAAAAAAATAAAAGACGATCTGTTTTTTTTTTAATTTTTTTAATTTTTATCATTTACCCTTTATTTATCCAGGTAGTCTCATTGAGACAATGGGATTTACCTCTCTAAATAAAGGTTGAATGAATGAACTAACCCTAACAGAATACCAGAGGGTTAGTGACAGTGATGCGTTTGTCCGACAGGGGGAGACAGATCTCCAAATAAAAACCATAGAAGAAGAATGTCCTAAATATATCAATAGAAGAAGAAAGTCGGCCACCCGCCTGTGTCATCTCATGCGCATGGCGTTATATGAATGAATATTTGCTCATTGTAACATCAGCTTTTTATCATTTGGATTTTATATTTATTCTTCAGTTTCATCTCATATTAAAGGTACGTGTTCAGCAACATATAAGTAATAGCTTTGTGCTAAAAAGTAAGCTGGAAAGTGTGAACAAAAACAACGTAACTCTGACGTTGCGTGCAGTCCGTTTCGTTCCCTGTTAGCATGCTAGCATCCTTGTTTTTGGTAAAATATTAACTCAAGAAAAGCATTTTCCATTTCTATTAAAGTTTTCAGTTTCCTTTATTTTCAGTGAATGAAAATACGAATTAGTTCGAAAGTACTTAAGTCTGTGCGACGTTCAGGGTTAGCATTAGCTTTTGTGCTAACATTACTATTAAAAGCATAGAAAATATTCTGCTGAGGTGCATAAAATTACAAAGAGTTGTAGCTGGATTTATACCACAAATGCACGTGTTTGACTGCTAAATTAAATGTGAATGAATCATGTATATATAGATTCATCATCTTACTGGCTTAATTTCTTAAAGGTTAAATTTGTTTGACTCTTCTCAGAGTCAGAGGTTCTTTATTGTCATTCGCACCTCATGTGGTACATGTGGTGGAGCGAAATTATGTACACAGGGTCCCAGTTACATCCAACAATAAAATGTATAAGAAAAACAGTAATAACATCTAAGATATGAACTAAGAAAAACATCAACTAAATATACACTAAGCACTCATAACATAAAACATTGAACATCAGCACAAACATGAACATGAGTCTGTGAGCAGATGTGCACGCATGAACACATCAACATTGAAACAGATCAGCAGCAACATGAAACAGATCAGCAGCAACATATGGTTTTTCACAGTGATTATTCTAGTTAGAGATTCATGAGTCTAACAGCCTCAGGGTAGAAGCTGTTCCTCAGTCTAGTGGTTCTACACTTAATGCTCCTTAACCTCCTTCCTGAGGGGAGTGGGGCAAAAAGTGTGCGTGCTGGGTGAGTGGGGTCCTTCATGATGCAGGTGGCCCTCTTCCTGCATCTGGAGGTGTAGATGTCTGTGATGGTGGGGAGGCCTACTCCGACAGACTTCTGTGCAGCCTTCACCACTCGGTTGGTGGTGGAAGGAAGGAAGGTGGTGACTCTACTCTCTTCTGCTGATTTTGTTTTTAGTAAAACAAAAACATAGAATTACTACTTGTTATCTCATGTGCATTTATATAGGATGGAGGCTGATTTGTACGATGAGTTTGGGAACTACATTGGTCCAGAGCTGGACTCTGAAGATGACGACGATGAACTGGATGCAGAGGACAAAGATGTAGATGAGGTATTCTACAAGCATACTACACAGCCTTGCACCGTTATATTTTTAAATTATTGTCCCATGTATAATCCTGGTATTTACTTTGTACAGGGTGATGAAGATGATGACGAGCCTGCAGATGCTGATGAGGATGTCCCTGGCATGGAAGTGGTCCTGCATGAGGACAAGAAGTACTATCCCACAGCAGAGGAGGTTTATGGACCGGAGGTGGAAACTATTGTTCAGGAAGAAGACACACAACCTCTCACAGGTGAGAGACATTTAAATGTTGATATGCAAATTTATAATGTTGTAGAGTTGGGTTGATCTGTGAATTAAAGAAATGATTTGTCAAAATCACAAACCTACTATAGTTTTGACTTTGAAAACTGGTTCTGCATTTCTGCAGAGCTAACATTACTTTTAAAACCAGTCCTGAACTGAGTTTGTTTAATCCATTTACTCCAGCGCTGCTTTCCCAACATGTGCTGTCAGTTCTTTCTTTAATGACATTTCTGTTCCATGTAATTAGCAAATAATATTTTCTTTTTCAATCTAACTCGGTTCTTCAGCTTAATTTGTAAACTGCCGCTTATGCATGTAGGATACTGTTTTCTATGTAGAAGTAATACAATAAAAAGTGTTAGCAGATTAATTCCAGTGCTCTGTGTTTTTTAACACACCTTAATGTTTGTATTGTTTTCTGTTTATACAATTTAGAGCCCATCATTAAGCCTGTGAGGCACAAACAGTTCACGTTGATGGAACAGGAGTTACCGGCCACCGTTTATGAAATGGAGTGAGTACCCTGTGTTTAAACCTGGAGGTTAAGTTCTGTAGAAATATTGACAAAATGATGCTAATCCAGTTGACTGGTGTGTGTTTTTAGGTTGTGACATCGTTTTAATCTCCTTTTTTTAATAGATTTCTTGCAGATCTGATGGACAGTCCTGAGCTGATTCGTAACATCACCCTCTGTGGTCACCTTCATCATGGCAAGGTTGGTATTATTGCCGCCTCTGTTTTACGCTCATTACTTTGTATTCCTAGTTGGGTCATGTCCTGGCCATTCTCCCCGAGAAGACATGTTTGAATAGTTTGAATGTAGGCTTCTGACATGACCGTGCTGTAGACTCATCAACAGCTCACTGAATCTAATAACGGTTTGTTTTTTTCTCATTCAGACCTGTTTTGTGGATTGCCTGATTGAGCAGACACACCCAGAAATCAGAAAAAGAGATGATGCTGATGTGAGTGTGTTAACACTAATTCAAGGTATTAACATTTTATATTTAAAGTAACGATGACCGATGTAATTTTGAACTTTTTCAGCTCCGGTATACAGACATCCTTTTTACAGAGCAGGAGGTGAGTGGTGAGATCAAACGTTGGAACCATGAAAAGTGATTCACTCAGTTTCAGTTCCTCCTGTGATTGTGCTTTCTTGATTGTGTGTGGTTTATATTTCTATAGAGGGGGGTTGGCATCAAAAGCACTCCTGTCACGATGGTCCTGCCTGACTCTAGAGGAAAATCTTACCTTTTCAACATCATGGATACCCCAGGTGTGTTTGTGTGTTGTTTTGCAACGACCCATGTCTTCAACTGTCCAACCTTGTCCTCTAATCTTCTTGTCTGGCCATTTTGTAACATCACACAATCTGATTAGGAGTAGGAGCAGATGGGCAACTTGGATGTATACAGAGTTTGATGGTTTATGTTGCTATTCACTTGGATTGTATATTGTGCAATGAAAGACCAAAAAAGTGACTTCAGATGTTCATTTTCCTGAAAGGCCACGTGAACTTCTCTGATGAGGTCACATCCAGCATGAGGATCTCCGATGGGGTTGTCCTTTTCATTGATGCAGCAGAAGGAGTGAGTTGCCTTCAACTTTTTCCCTGCCCTTGTGTCGATGCTCTTAATTCATTCACTTGACACAGATTTTTTCCTGTTCAGGTGATGCTCAACACCGAGCGTCTGATCAAACACGCCGTTCAGGAGCGCATGGCCATCACTATCTGCATCAACAAGGTGGATCGGCTCATCGTTGAGCTCAAATTGCCTCCAACGGACGCTTATTACAAGCTCCGCCACATTGTGGATGAGGTCAATGGTTTGCTCAGGTAATTTGAAAAATCTGGCTTGTTTTATTGTTTAGAGAAGCTGAAATGTTATTGTATAATAATGTACAAACAATTCAATTTGAAAGGGAAAAAACATCAGGTGAAACGGCAGACAGAAAATGTTTATTGATCTTTTTAGATATGATCTATTGCTTCTTCAAACTGTTCAAAAAATGGCGTTCGGGTCACTTTTGCTAAGCTACGAGCTAAGCTAACAGGCCAACCTCGGGGAAAAAACCTCCGTCTTGTTGAATCTCCAAAATTCACGGTTGAAACTTGTGCCTTTGTCCAAAAAGATTTTCTCTGCAAAAAGAAGCTGAGAACTTGTTTTCTGATTTATTTTATTTTTATTAAAAGCTTCGTGTGAAAAATGCTAAAGAGATCAAAATACACCGAACATCCGCCATTTTGAGAACAGAAAAAAAGGAAGGAGGGACAACCCATGTCAAGTCAAGGGGCCTCCCTCCCATTTTTCTTAGAGACGCGCTGCTCGCTCCCTCACTATCCATCCTTCGGTTCAAACGGTTTTATACTGCCATCGAAAAAAGGTATTACACACACAACAAATTAACAAACATTACTTCTTAAATTTGACAATAATTACTAGTTATTGTCAAATTTCAAACAATTTTATCGTTTATCGCAATAATTCCTGAGAAAATTAATCGCCCAGTAAAATTTTACGTGACAGGCCTAGTAACACACGGTGTATTTGGGATGTAAGATTATTATTCTACCTCTGTCCGTAATGTAAAAAAAGAAGCTTCCTGAAGCGTCCTTTCAGTTTATGTGCCTGGTGAATCGTGGTGCAGTCGTCATGCCTTAAAGAGGGAAACATGTTCATTCTGTAGAGTCGGTTACTTTCTGTTCTCTTTGCACGTAATGTTGCTGAAAATGTTTTCTGCTGTTGGGTTTTCGTTGGTTCAATTTTTACTAAACTTTTAACGAGATCGGAGCTCAAGACGATTAAAGCTTTAGGAACCCCAGTGGATTACTGGTTACTTAGCACTGTTGTCTCACAGCAAGAAGTTCTCCGGGTGTGCTTGGGTTTTTCTGAGTGGAGTTTGCATGTTCTCCTCGTGTTTGCGCCCGGTTTCCTCCCACAGTCCAATAAATGTTATTATGCTGCCTTCAGGCTCAGGTCTCTGTTGTAAAAGAGGTTTGTGTTCTTAGGTTTGCCTGGTAAAAAAAAATAATATAAAAGTTCCCAAACTTTTACTGCTCGGCTCTTATTTTGTGTGCTTCAAGTTTATTTTTGTGTTTTTCACAACCTGAACGCGTTTTTTTTTTTAATAAAAGGCACCAAGATGTTAGTTTGGACATTCAGATAACTCGATTTGTGAACACGTTGGACGTCTAATAATAATTTTGCTCCACCACATGTACCACATGAGGTGCGAATGACAATAAAGAATCTCTGACTCTGACGTCTGAAAGCTCTGAGTCGCTGTGAAGAGTCTGCTTGGTGACCGGGCATCTCTTCCTTTTCAGCACGTATTCCACGGACGAGAACTTGGTGGTGTCTCCTCTCCTCGGAAACGTTTGCTTTGCCAGCTCTCAGTACAGCATCTGTTTCACCCTGGGATCATTCGCAAAGATCTACTCCGACACCTACGGTGAGCTGGACCCGTCTGTCGTGACGACAGTCGTTTTCACGACACCGACCTAACGCTGTCTCCTGTTTGCGTCTGTAGGCGATATTAACTACAACGAGTTTGCAAAGCGGCTCTGGGGGGACATTTACTTTAACCCAAAAACGTGAGTAGCCAGTCTTTTTCTGCAACATTAAAGTTCTCTTTACTTACTTGTTTTTTCTTGTGTTTAGTCGCAAGTTCACCAAAAAAGCCCCTAGCAGTAACTCTCAGCGCAGCTTTGTGGAATTTGTCCTGGAGCCTCTCTACAAGATCCTCTCACAGGTTTACCACGCCTTACTTTCTTTAGCAAATGCAACATAACGGATGAAACTGCCAAACCTGCTCAGTGTGTAATCCTTCCCTAAATCCTGTTTGTGTCCAGGTGGTCGGGGACGTGGACACATCTCTCCCCAGAGTTCTGGATGAGCTTGGGATCCACCTGACCAAAGAGGAACTGAAACTGAACATCAGACCTCTGCTTCGACTGGTCTGTAACCGCTTCTTTGGGGAGTTCACTGGTATGGCTTGATTTCTATTTTAGTTACACTCGAAATATCTTTATTTTTATATAATTTTTGTTTTATTTGTGTTCAAAATTGACTGGAAGATCTTCATTTACCTAAAAAAAAAATTGGTTTTATGTTACCTTTTTTTTTTAACGATTTAGAATATTTGTGGCTATGTTCATGTCTTGACTTAGATTTTTTTTTATTATCATTTTAATTCCTGTAAAACCAAAATTTGACTTCTCAGTAGAAAAAAAAGTATTAAATTATTAAACATAGTTTGCTTTTAGCATTAGAATGGTTTCGTTCTTTTCTGAGTGACAGAAGATTTTGTGTTATTGTTGGTAATGGTGTATCTGCTTCGGTGCCTCTTTCCTGTGGAGTTCCACAGGGCTCGATTCTTGGACACATTTTGTTTTCACCCTTATCTGCTTCTTTTGGGGTCTATCCCAAGGAAGCATGGTGCATGATAAGCATGATGGTTTCAAATTTCTTAAGTTTTAATGACCAGAAAACTGAAGTGATTGTGTTGAGCCCTAGATCTACTAACAGATCTTAAGTCTGTTACAAACCTTGAGATGGTTTTAGACTCTGATTTTAAGTTTAATAAACAAATCAACTCTGTTCTACAGAAAAGCTTCTTCCACTTAAGGCAGATAGATAAGCTTAAGTCAGGGTTGACCTCATCTGACCTTGAAAAAATAGTCCATGCCTTCATTTCAACCTGACTAGATTACTGTAACACGCTTTACCAGTCATATCTCCATTTCACGTCTTCAGCTCGGCTCTTAACCAGAACTTGTAAATTTGAGCATATTTCACCAGTTTTGTCCTCCCTTCACTTGCTCTCTGTGCATGTCGGAATTGAGTTTAAAATTCTTCTGTTGACCTTTGTGCCTAAATGGACTTGCACCCTCATACCTCTCTGAGCTACTTCCACCATATGTTCCTTCTCGAGTACTGAGATCATCTGATCAGCTGCTTTTACCTAAAACCAGGTCGAGGCTCAGAGATCGGGATTTTTCAGTCGTGGACCCTAAACTTTGGAACAATCTGCCCCTCAACATTAGACAGGCCACGCCACTTCCTGTTTTTAAACCTCTTTTAAAAACACACCTGTTTTCAGACTTTTAACACCGTGTGATTTGATTTAGTATTTTATTGTTCTGTGTTTTTATGGTTTTTCTTTTGATGCTTTTAATTAGGGCTGCAACTAACGATTATTTCAATAATCGATTCATCGGTCGATTATTTTTTCGATTAATCAACGAATCGGCAAAAAGTCAAGTCACATTTAAAAAAAAAAAACAAACAAACAACGTTTGACTGATATAGCAATTCGCACAAAAAAACAGGTTGCTATTTGACTATTCTGTTAGTAAAATATTGAATAATAAAAAATAAAAGTTAGTCAAATAGTTTTTAAAAATAAATGTACACAAAAGTATATACAAATGTGTACTTTATACCTGCACAATATGTAGCTACTTTGTAAAATGTGTCATTGAGGGAAGAGTGTAACCTGGATTAAAAGTGTGGATTATTGTAACCTGGATTAAAAGTGTGGATTATTGTAACCTGGATTAAAAGTGTGGATTATTGTAACCTGGATTAAAAGTGTGGATCATTGTAGTGAAGCCTTCGTCTTCAACCATCGACAGATGGTTAGACTGACGTTACGTTTTCTCTCTTGAAACAGAACAAAGTGTTAAATTGTAGAGACTCACCTGCAACACATGAAGAGTTGTATCAGCTGCAGCTCCTTCCTCCTCCTCGTGACTCCGACATGTTTACGTTTATCTCCGTGGTTCTCCCGTGTCGTGTCGTCACTTTTCAAAGCTGCATGTTTCTCAGTTTTTATCTTTGTGAAGAGCTCCCACACTTTGGAGGACTTGGGTCGAGCAGTTTTCTCTGCGTCGGTCATTTGTAAAATTTATTTAATTTCCTTTGAAAACAGCGACTCTGCTCTGCTTCCTCCTCCCCCCCTCGCTCTCTTCAACTCGAGCTGCAGAGTTTTTGTTATTTTTTCGAGCTTTATTCAGTCAGCAGCGTTGACAATGAACTGCAGGTGAACGAAACGGCTCTGCAGCGCCGTGAAAGACGCTTAATCGCGTGACACAACGAATCGATAATGGAATTCGTTGCCAACGCTTTCAATCATCGATTTCAATCGATTCGTTGTTGCAGCCCTACTTTTAATAGATTTTCAGTACTATGATTACTTTTATTTTCAACTTTTCCATTAAATTACTTCCATTGTTTGTTTTTTTATTGTTAAGCACTTTGGTAGCAGCTGCTGTTTTAAAAGTGTTTTATAAATAAAGTTAATTTGACTTGAACAGACCATAAAATCAATCATAATGTGAAGATAGCTGGTCATCTTGTTGCACTTTCTGTAATTTGCCTCATGACCTGACAGTTTCTGTGTTTTCTGCAGGCCTGGTGGACATGTGTGTGCAACACGTCCCTTCACCACAAGATGGCGCTAAGACTAAGATAGAGCACACCTACACTGGAGGTCTTGACTCAGAACTGGGAGAGGTCATGTCAGAGTGCGATCCAGATGTGAGCACAGCTGTGGTTAAACTGCTCACGGCTGCAAATTAAACCCAAAAGATTCATTGAATAAAGAAGTCGTGAGGCTTTCTTTGTCACCCAGCTCCTTGTTTTTTCTTCATATTCCTCGTCCGCAGGGTCCGTTGATGTGCCACACCACAAAGATGTACAGCACGGAGGACGGGGTGCAGTTCCATGCGTTCGGCCGGGTGCTGAGCGGCACCATTCAGGCAGGTCAGCCGGTGAAAGTGCTCGGAGAGAACTACTCGCTGGAAGACGAGGAGGACTCTCAGGTTTGCACCGTGGGTCGTCTCTGGATTTCTGTTGCCAGGTACGCGTCCAGTTTTATTCACCTTCAGTGGAGCCACAAACTGCTGATGGTTTAGTCAAATCTATCGTATCGAACACTATTTAAGATACCAGATCGAGGTGAACCGAGTGCCCGCGGGCAACTGGGTGCTGATTGAAGGCTGTGACCAGCCGATCGTGAAGACGGCCACAATCACGGAGCCCAGAGGGAACGAAGAGGTGAGATCAGTGAAAGAAACGGCTCTTGCGTCTTTAGCAATATAACCCAAAGTAAAAAACAAAACCTTTTCCAGGCTCAAATTTTCAGGCCTTTGAAGTTCAACACAGCGTCGGTAATTAAAATCGCAGTGGAGCCCGTTAACCCGTCAGAGCTGCCAAAAATGTTGGATGGACTGAGGAAGGTGAACAAGAGCTATCCTTCCCTCACCACTAAGGTACGTCCCCAGCCTGGGCCAGCTCGGCCGCTCCAGTAACTAAACGTTTGTTTTATTCGTTCCGTGTTTTGGGTGTGAAAGTTCGGTTTGTCCTTCAGGTTGAGGAGTCTGGAGAGCACGTCATCCTGGGAACAGGGGAGCTCTACCTGGACTGTGTCATGCACGATTTACGGAAGATGTACTCTGAGATCGACATTAAAGTAAGTGAAGTTGCTCTTTGTAACTGTACGATTACTTACGAGTGAATAAAGCAACACATCTGTAAATCGCATCAACTACATTTATACTGAAAGGCAGTAAAAATAATTGTCAGTCAGAGGAGTCATCTTTGTCTTTGACCTCGCAGCTGATCGTCCTTCTACCAACATTCCCACTGTGTCTGCACACGTCCAAATAAACAAAAAGTCTCACAAAATGTACTTTTACAAAAGATTTCCACAAAGAAAACATTCAGATCTCTTCAATTCATTTAAAAACGTCGTTCTCTGAAAACTTTTTCACCGTTCTTAATCTTTTTATTTCGCTTTTTCTTGTGCTCCGTTGAGCCTTTAGCTGCTATCATGCCAGTTTTAGCTTTGATTTAGTTTTGTTACAATTAGCTTTGGGCTGCAATTGCTAATTTTAGCCTTCAGTGCCAGTTTTACTTATTTTAGCTACAAATGGTTTTACTGTTTTTAGATTTTTTTTAGCAGCCTTTTTGCTGATTTTAGGCTTTTAGCTATTTTGCTCATTTTGGCTTTTGTCCAGCTTGTTTTAAAAATTCTTAAACACATTTCAGCGAAGTCCTTCAGCATTCATGATCAGTTTTTACAGAAAGTATGGGGAGTGGTGGCGCAGAGGCTAGAGAGGGTGGGCCTGTGATCGGAAGATTGCAGGTTCAACTCCCGGTACCAACAACCTCAAAATGTGGATGGAAAAAGTGAAACGCCCACACCTGCCTCCACCCTCATTTGCCCCAATCTGGGCCCATGAGCAAGGCACTTAACCCCCCCAGCTGCTCCCTGGAAGCCTTGGCTGGCAGCTCTCTGCTTCACATGTGCAATGGGAAAAATTTCCCCATTGGGAATTAAAAGAACACAATTAGAAATAAAAAATGAAAAATTTCTGGTTCTAGTTTAGGTCTGCAGAAGAAATTGTTTTATCTTCAGCTTCTCTTTCAAACACTATAATGCAATAAAGATTTTTACCTACCCATTAAATAATAATAATAATAATAAATGCTTAAATCCATTGTTCGCAGATCAAGCTGCTTGTTCGTTTCCTTGCAGGTTGCTGATCCAGTTGTGACTTTTTGTGAAACGGTGGTGGAGACGTCATCACTCAAGTGTTTTGCTGAGACGCCCAACAAAAAGTGAGTTGTTGGTTTGTTTTTTCAAGTTTTTATCCGGACAATTCAGTTCAGTTTATTTATATAGCACCGACTCGCAACAGAAGTCACCTCAGGACACTGCGCAGAAACATTGATGTAAATAAAAAGCAATTTAATAACATTATTTATCTGAGGAGACAAACAGTGAAAACTGTAGAATCTGAGCAAACATTACAGGATATTTAATGCTACTCAGCAGCTCCAAGTCTGTCTGTGTTGTGTAGGAGGAGGTTCTGATTCTGTCCTTCCCTCCAGCTGAGCTTCTTTCGAACGTGCATCGAGTGATTGACATATTGTGTGATTGACAGGAATAAGATCACGATGATTGCCGAGCCCCTGGAGAAGGGACTTGCCGAGGACATAGAGAACGAGGTGGTGCAGATCACGTGGAACAGGTGATGAACGAACTGATCCGCTCTGCATTAAATCCGTCTTCCTAATTAACAGACGTGATTTAGTGTGCCTTTCATGTCGGACGGGCACATTTAACTTTGATGTCGGCTTAATAATTTCTCCACTTTCCTTCCTCTCTGACCGTTTTCCCTCATTTCTTCCTTTGCAGAGATGAATGCGCAGACATTCATGAATGAGGATTGGCTCATTAATTAAATGCTCTAAAAGCAGATAATTATAGGAAACCTCCAGACTGAAAAAGTGCAGCTCTTTGTGTGCGTGTGCGCATTTCTCTGACATGCATCAAGTTGTGATCTGCAGCCGCACATGACCACAAACACCTCATTAAGTTGACTCACCTTGGCACATTGATTCATTTTCTGCCTGTAATTAAATTAAGCACTCAGAGCAGACATGCACTTTCCTCTTGTATGGAAAGCATGCTTGATTGCACGTTTTGCTGGAGAGAAGCTTCCTATCTGCGAGGCCATCTGGACCCAGTTGTGGCAGCATGAAGCTGCAACGCCACACACACACTTCACACACACACTTCACACACACACTTCACACACACACTTCACACACACACCCTCTTCTTCCATTAACCCCTTTGTCCCCCAAATAACAAAATCTCTAACGTTCCAGCTGACGCGCAGAGCTCGCCTCCTCCCATATTGTGACTGTCCTGATTTGTTTAACAGGAAGAAGCTTGGAGAGTTTTTCCAGACAAAATACGACTGGGATCTGCTGGCTGCCAGGTCCATTTGGGCCTTCGGACCCGACACAACAGGGCCAAACATCCTCGTAGATGATACGCTGCCTTCAGAGGTGGGTTAATGCACCCAAACTGAAAAACTGGATAAACTGCTGAAGCATTCTGAAGTTTATTTAACTGAAAAGGGTCATGTTCTAAAAATTCAGTCTTTCTGGGCTTTTTTGTGCCATCTAGGCCTGTCACGATAACAAATTTTGCTGGGCGATTAATTGTTTCAGAAATTATTGTGATAAACGATAATATTGTTTGAAATTTGACAGTAATTAGTAATTATTGTCAAATTTAAGCAGAAATGTTGGTTGATTTGTTTTGTGTGTAGTACCTTTTTTGACCACTGCATGGCAGTATAAGACAGTTTGAATCGAAGGATGGATAGTGAGGGAGCGAGCAGCGTGTCTCTTTAAGAAAAATGGGAGGGAGGCCCCTTGATGTGACATGGGCTGTCTCTCCTTCCTGTTTTTCCATTCTAAAAATGGACGACGCTCGTTGTGGTTTGAGCTCTTTAGCATTTTTCAAACAAAGCTTTTAATTAAAAAAAAAATCATTAAAAAAGTTCTCAGCTTCTTTTTGCAGAGAAAAGCAACTTTTTTACACAAAGGCCCGGGTTTCAACCGTGAATTTTGGAGCTTATCGATAGATGAAGCTTTTGTCCTTGGGTACTCATGTCCCAGGAGAAATTTGATAGTCAGCACGTCTCCGAGGCCGTCGGGAGTCTGATTCAGATAAGCTTGATTTTTGTTGTTTCGTCAGCCTTGAGTCCCATCTGGGCGTTCTGGTTCTGAAAGGGCCTAATTGTGGGATTCCATTCCACTGATCCACGCTGTGGGTCTCCTTCAAGGTCGAACCCACCACACTGACGAGTCCCAGAAGCCGCAGGTGGTCTGCGATTCTCAATCGCCTCCACCTTACGGTTAAGCTCGTAGACCAGACGATTTAAAGTTCCCACAGCGAGGACCAGACCTTCACACTGACTCGGGAGCTTTTCCATGGCCGAAACTGCTCCCGATGTCTTTTTTCAAAAGTCGATAAAACAAGAGCCCCGCCGATGCCAAAAAGCAGAGACCCTGCGATCATAAATCCAAATATGTAAACGTCTTCAACATCCTCCTGAGACAGGACTGTGATGCACATCATCTGCCACACTCCCCACGAATCCATGACGTACCCCACAGCGTGAGTCTCAGCTGGACACCCCAGGACCTTGTCGTTTTGATGAAAAAATCTTATCAATAGTTGAACGCCCACGATACCAAATCCATAATCTTCTTAATTTATGTTCGGGAGATGTGACCCAGGCGCTTCAGACACACAGAGAGCAGAGCAGGAAGAACGGGGGAGGAGAAACAGAAGCTGCCACCTCGATGAGAGTCTGGGAGGAAGATCCTCTGAAATGGAGAGTTCAAACCTTCGCAGTTGTAGCCCAACCTCTGGGTGCAACAGTAGCTTTTGATTTGTGTTGTACGGTCAGACTGCACAAATTCTTTATCATCAATCATGTTACATTAGTTGGAATTACTTAAATGTGATTAACTCTAATATTTCTTTATGGTGAGGATGTTGTAAAACGTGCCTGCAGTTGTCAGAACAGACTCAGTCTGCTGCAGATAACAAAGTTAACTGAACTTTAGTTACTTGTTTACTAACAGACTGGAATAAAATAATGTTGGGTGATTTTTGTAATCCTGCTGGAAACTGAGAATTGTTCTTTTGTAAACTGAAGCGATCCTCGTTCACCTTGTTGCTCATTTCTTTTCCATTCAGTCATTGATCCGATTCAATACTTGGCCATGAATTTGTTAAACGTTCCTGAAGACTAACTTTGTTTTCATTTGGAAACATAAAAAATGACAAAAAGTCATTAATTTAAGTGTTAAATGACATCGTTCTGTCTGTTTTAGTTCTTGTTTTGTTTTTTTCCTTTTATATCGGCAAACGAGTAAAATGGCTGCTGATTTTTTGTAAATATATGAGAAATGCATCTTTGCTTATTGCTTTAAATCCGTACGTTTGACGCTTAATTACGTCATAAGTTAAATATGTGTTAAAATAATGGTTGTGTCTGTTTAAGCAGCAGATTGAAGTGTTTAACTGGAGAGTGTTTGTTGCGCAGGTGGACAAGGCGCTGCTGGGTTCTGTCAAAGACAGCATCGTTCAGGGCTTCCAGTGGGGCACCAGGGAGGGGCCTCTTTGTGATGAGCGTACGTCTTTACATCTCATCTGGTTGCTGAAAACAAACCTCGAGTCTTCTAGCTTCTCCACACCAAAGTGTTGGTTGGTGCAGACGTTGCGCATGCGAGGAAAGGAAAACGTTTTTGAGTGTTTTTTCTGCTTTCAGCCATTAGAAATGTGAAGTTTAAGATCCTGGATGCTGTGATCGCTCAGGAGCCTCTTCACAGAGGAGGGGGTCAGGTCATCCCTACAGCCAGGAGGGTGGTGTACTCCGCTTTCCTCATGGTGAGCCCAGTCTTCCCAGCACCTTACCTGCTTTAAACCCTTCAGCTTTCACTGCGATCCACAGGTTTTGATTCAGTTTCACGTTTTGCTCACACGCTGCTTGTTTTTTATCAAACTTTTTTTTTTTTTTTAAACCTTTTTTGCCTCGCAGCTGTCATCACGAACAGCTGCGCACGAGAGTACCGTGATCATTTTGACTCTGCTTCACATTCCAGGCCACGCCGAGGTTGATGGAGCCCTATTACTTTGTAGAGGTCCAGGCTCCAGCTGATTGTGTGTCTGCGGTCTACACCGTGCTGGCTCGGAGGAGGTTCGTCCGTCAGTCCCAGCGCAAACTTTAATTCAGACCGTTTTTTTTTTTTTTTTTTTTTTTTTATTCATTTCATAACAAAATAAAATACATATCAATTAACATATATGTAATTAGAAAACAATTATAAATATAAAATGAAAGGTAGCAGATGAAGAAAAAATCTTATTGAATCTGCTCCTTATTTATCTAATAAACCATTCAAACAAACATATTCAGAAAATTATCAGAAACAAGTAAATAACTCAAGTAATATTTCAAATATCCAACATTTTTCATGAAATACATTCATATATATTTTTTTAGCAATTGAATTTTTACCATTTTCTTTAATACCGAGATTGATTTAGCTTCCTTAACATCTAACTCCAAGTCGTTCCACAGTCCAACACCCTGAATTAGGGTAGATCTTCCCTTCAAACTGGTTCTGAATTGCGGTTTAACAAAAACATCTTTCCCCTTAAGATTATAATTACTAGCTCTTTTTACACAATGCATTTGGATATTAGAAGGCAATGTATTATTATGAGCTCTATACATGAATGACAAAATGGTATAATCCACCAAATCAGGGAACTTCAACAACTTCATTTGACAAAATAATATACTCGATGGATGATAATAATGTTTACCCTTGATAATTCTTACAACTCTTTTCTGCAAAATAAAAATAGACTTTGTAATTGATTTACATGCTTTTCCCCAAACATTAACACAATAAATCAAATGTGGCACAACAATTGTATTATACATCAAATACAATGCTTTGTCATTCAGTAGATACTTAACTCTATAAAATATTGCGATAGATTTTAATATTTTCATTTTAACAGAATTTATATGTTGTTTCCATGATAATTTATCATCAATGATGACACCCAAAAACTTCACCTCATATACTCTACAGATTTCAGAATCTTCATTCATAACAAATTCAGACAGTTCTTCAAAAGACGTGTTTAATGTTTAAACGTGGTGTTTTTAATCCAACAGGGGTCATGTCACGCAGGATGCTCCCATCCCTGGTTCTCCTCTTTACACAATTAAAGCTTTTATCCCGGCTATAGACTCTTTTGGCTTTGAGACCGACCTGCGCACCCACACTCAGGGTCAGGCCTTTGCTCTCTCCGTCTTCCACCACTGGCAGGTAAGAACGTGGACGCACGCGTGCTCAAAGCGTCAACGATAAACGTTAAAATATCACCAAGTATTTACAGTTTTTGTGAACGTATGTTTCCAAGAACTCCCCGATGTTTGAGATGCAGCGTGAGCAGGAAGCGTCAAGCGACAGACTGATCTCGTGTCGCTCGTGCGCTCACTTACTCGCATGGATACTGCAGCACGTTTCCCCGCTCGGTTTCACACTCTTTAAGTGGCCAACCTCGTGCGCACGTCTGCCACTTCGCTTAAACCGCTTTTGATCCAGAGCACAGTGGAGTGTTGAGTCATTACTTTTTAATATTCGTTAGCCCGCCTGTCTGCTCTTTCTGACGTGTTTGTGTCTGCTCTCCGCAGAGCCGTGTCAGGGGAAATTAGCTCCACTTAGGTTAAGTTAATATTTCACTGCAACGACGTTGATCTGCGAGCAAATGTTACATATTTTCCCTTCCAAGCAATTTAAGTTTTATCATCCAAACTAATGCTTTATCCCCGTGAGGTGAGAATGAAAGTGTGTGACATGAAACTGGACATGAATTATTTATGCTCACACTGGAAAGTTTCTTGTTGTAATCCTACGGAGATGAGCTAAATTAAAGCCGACTGATTTAGGTTCTTCTGTATTAACGGCATTTCTTATACTGTCCGAGATTATTTCTGAAGTTTAACGTCAACCAAACGTATTGGGCACTGCCAAGTAGGAGGCAGCACCTATTATTATCCACCTAACAAAAGGTTTCTTAACCTTTTTTTTAATATCTTACTCTTCTAAGACGGAAATAGAAGTAGCATAAATTAGCAACAGGAGGACCGTACTGAATCGCTCGTGAAATGAAAGGTCCAAGTCGCTCCGCGTGTCGTCGCCGTTTGTTGTTTCATGTCGTGGCTCTGAGGGTCAGCGGTTGAAAACTAACGGCGTCTCTGTTCTGATCGTCCTCTAAGATCGTACCCGGTGACCCCCTGGACAGAAGCATCGTGATCCGGCCTCTTGAGCCCCAACCCGCCCCTCACCTGGCCAGAGAGTTCATGATCAAGACCAGAAGACGCAAGGTGAGCTTCCCCGCCCGTTTCTTTTTTCTAAACGACGCTGATGTTTTCTCAACCTGAGCGTGTTTGTTGCCGTGCAGGGTCTGAGTGAAGACGTGAGCATCAGCAAGTTCTTCGACGATCCCATGTTGTTGGTTCTGTCCAAACAAGACGCGGTGCTGAATTATCCCATCTGAGGCGACATTTACCGCAGCCGAAACCTCCTCCGCTGGAATTTACAGCTGATATTTGGGTTCACCACGTAAAAAATAAAACTGTCGCGTTTTAATTTGCCGTCTTTGTAATTTGCTCCTTCCGCTACAGAACAGATGTTATCAGTTAAAACAGTTCATGCGTTTGTTTCTTTTGTATTTTTTATTTTTATATGTACAAAATATTTGTTTTTGTAGAATAAAATGGGTTTGAATAAAAAAAAAACAAGTTTGTTCTGATGTATGAATAAAAAAAAAGGTTTTAATTCAAAAAGATCTTTGTTGCTTTGCATTTATTGTCATAAATTATTATAATTATTGTCGTTCCTGACGATTGGGCCATGAAACGACAGAGGAGACGTCTTCAGCTCCAAAATAAAGTCGTTGTTTTTGTCTTGAACTATTTTTTTATTTAAGTGGAGAAGATCTACAAAACTACAACAAACTGTTTTAAAATTATCTGAATTAACTGTTACCAAAAAAAACAAACTTGGTCAAATGCACAAAAACCTGAAGTTGAAGTTGCTCCCAACTTTTTCTACGCCTGTCGAGTTTTTGTGTAATATAAGGGACCGTGTGCGCTCTTATTTTGATGGTCAAAGGTAGAAACTTTTGGGAACTATTGTTACAAAAATTATTATTTTGCAGAATTTTTTTTAGTTAAAAATAAGAATTTAATGTTGAATTTTGGATCTACAAAATTTAATGATGGCTGAGTGGTTTTGTTTTGGATCAGAGCTGTTCAACTGGTGGCCCGGGGGCCAAATCGGGCCCAAAGGTGAGCTCAGTACGGCCCACCAATGGGCTCATTTTCAAATTTTAAACCATAAAACTTAAAGTGACAATAGCTGCTGGATGTGCTCCCCCACCCCTGAGCAGTTTAGTTGAGTGTTCCTGTGATGGTGATCTGATTAATAACGGCCAAAATGTTAAGCAGCACAGATAAAAAAAGAGTTTGACATAACTCAAAGTTATATTCAATTTCCATGAAATTGCCATGAGCTGTTCAATCTAAGGACACGCTTTTACCGAGGAGTTTCTAGGAGCTGAACAAGTTCAAACTGAAACTGCTCTAGATCTCACAGGGACTCCGGAGATCAGGGAAAACCTGGAAAATGACTCACATTTTCCTGACAAGAAACAAAATTTAAAGAAAAAAATCAGAATGTAAACGCTGATCTGCTGATTAAAATAATGTTTTTTAAAGTATCTGATGTTAAATAAAGGAATGATTCTAGTGTACATGTAAATAAATGGTTCCCAACCGTGGTCCTTGAGGAACACCATCCTGCACGTTTTAGTTGTTTCCCTGCTCCACACTTGATTCAGTGATTTAATTACTTATTAATTTTCTTAATATATATATTTTTTTCAATAATTGACAGTGAGCCTTATAATCCGTTGCACGTTGTGCATTAATTCTGGTTGTGCTTACTGACCCCGAACCGATTTTATGTGGTACAAGTGAACTTTTTTTTTTTATTCAATTTTATTTATTTTGTGTTTGTTTTGCTTTTTGTTTTTTGAATGTCCAGAGGACCAGACTTGACCTTTTTGGATGAACAATGTTGAGTTATTGCAAATAAGTTGAATAAAGTTTGACTTATCTGTTTTGTTTCGCTTAATGTGCCTTACAGTCCCAAAAAATATGGTAAAATATTCAGGATGGTGTTCCTCAAAGACCAGTGTTGGGAACCCTTGCAAGCTGCAGTATTCTTCCCGTCATCTCTGAATGTGACCGCCACACAAGTCGCTAACTTCTGAGCGTTACTTGTCAGAGTCAGAGATTCTTTATTGTCATTTGCACCTCATGTGGTACATGTGGTGGAGTGAAATTATGTACACAGGGTCCCAGTTGCATCCAACAATAAAATGCAAAAGAAAAACAATAACATCAAAGATATTAACTAAGAAAAACATCAACTAAATATACACTAAGCACCAATAGCATAAAAAAACTTTGTCTAACATCAGCACGAACATGAGTCAGTGTCAGTTGTGACTACAACATATGAAAATTCTGGATTTGCTCGGAAAAAACAGTAATTTTGTTTTCATGAAATGTTGGGGAACCCCGACACGTTTTTCTAGATTCACACTGAGCGGATCTGAACTACAAAACAAGGCTTCAATGAAAAATTCCTACTCAAGTGGGTTTTTTGCTTCATATATCAAACGTTTCATTTTGTGTGCCAGGATCACAGATCTATTGGTTAAGTTGCACAATGCCAGCATCTTTTTTATTTTTATCTTGCAAAAAGCGTCGTCTTCAGCTGATCCAGCCGAGCCTTGAAGAAGTAAATAAAACTCCCAGTTTCACGGCAGAAAAGTGAGTTATGCTGCAGGAAGGAGCTTCATTCTCACAGTCTGACCACGGCCTCTTCCTGGTAAAAGATGAAACTGCAGGTTGGAGCTGAGCTGAAATTTATCGACGGCACCTTTAATCACTTCAAGGAGCAGCTTCGGCTACTCTTCGGGATGGATAGTGGCTTAAGTTTTTGTCGCACCTCGAGAAGACTCTGACGTCTGAACGGCTCAGTCCTTCGTCACTCACACGCTGACAGTCCCCTCCAACAGACCTGGAGGTGTTGTGGATGCTGAAGGTTGGAGCGCAAACAGGAAGAATCAAACGTGGCTCCGGCGACTTTTGACATTTACACTGAATGTCACTCCTGTCCAGGAAGACAAGTGATTTCATTTCCTGCATTTTTTTTTATTTTTTTTCCAGGAGGACAGGGGTGATGGGGCTGTCCTGCCCTTTTCAAACCAGAGATGGAGGAATTTAGGAGCTTCACAGTTTGGATCCATCTGCTTCATTAGAGTGTGGTCAGCTCTGCACATGTGTTTAGTGAGCGTGGTTGCTTCCCCCTTCCCTCGTGCGCCCGGATCGTGCCGGGCCCCGGGCGCTGAGATGTATGGCAGCAGTTCTTGCCGGTCTGAACACGAAGCCCCGGAGCGTCTGTTCCAATCTGTGGTCCCTGTGCTAAAAAAAGACCGAGCAGGCTGCGGTACGGGGCCCGCTCGGGGCAACCTTCCTCCTGCAAGTCATCCCTTCCCCGGCTGCAGCTCCAACCACCTCAGCTGTCGCCTCTCCCTGCCATCGTACTTCCTGTCCATCTTGTCCCATCTCTCTGCGTCTCCGTTGTGTCTTAGGGACTCAGTCACACTTGTCTCTTCCTGCTAACGCCACGAACAAACCTGTCTCTTTACAATCCCGAGCTGACGGTGTGGAGTTCAGTCCGGCTGCACGTGAACCAAACACGACGACCAGTCATCAGTGATCTCGTGGATGAATGAAGATGATTGATGTTTGTTTTGGTTTTTGGCTTCTCTCTTCTTCAGGGGTCACCACAGTGAACTAATCGCATGAAGACTTAGCAGTTATTTTTAAACCGGATGTCCTTCTTGACACAACCACAGACCACCGAGCTACCACAGCCCTCTGTGTGGAGCAGAGAGCTGCCATCTAAGGTGCCCGGGGGAGCAGATGGTGGGGCCTTGCTCAAGGGCCCTGAGTGGGGAAAATGAGATGTGGAAGCAGGTGTGGGGGCTTCACCTGGGACGAGATGGTGTAAGGGCAGGACAGCCGACTCGGGACCCGAAGGTCCCGGGTTTGATCCCTGGTCACTGCACATCTCGTGGTGTCTCTGAGCAGGACACCTTATCCCCAGTTGATCCCCGGGCACTTTCCATAGCTGCCCACTGCTCCACCTGGTGGTGGATGGGTTAGATACAGAGACACTATTTTGCCGTATGGGAACATGATCACGACACATAACACATTATTTTATTATCTCACCCACATTTTGATGTTGTCAGTACTGGGAGTTGAACTAGCGATCTTCCGATCAGAGGCCCACCTTCTCTAACCTCTGCACCTCCAGTCCCCAATTTACAATAATTTACGCTAATTTTGTTATTCTTTGCAAACGTAGCCACTCAGCCACAGCCGCCCATCAGGCGATGGACGAGTGATGAGCATCCAGACTCCTCTCAGTTTGGTTGTTTTCAACGACCTTTGACGACCCCTCCATTCCTCGAGTCAGGAGCGTTTTTCATGATTTGTAAAGAAACTGATGGGATTCAGAAGTGACAGCGAGCTGTTTATTAAAAATAAAGAATTTGTTGGTTGTTTTGTTTGCAGTTAACCAGAACGAGATCGTTGAAGACTTTCGCACGGTTCCAAAAAAGCCTCTAATCTGGATCTCCGAATGTTTCTTAACCGTCCCCGAGTGCATCCTTGCATTCCAACTAACAGACGTTACGTAACGTTCTGTTATCTGCTGTCCAGAAGGGCTGTGACTCTTCAAGATCTGGCAAGGTCGAGGCTGTGAGCGCACACACACACACTCAATACAAAAAATACACAACCTCATGACTGTGTGACTTCTTCCAACTTGGTCATCCACTGATTCATCCATTCCTTTCTGTGTTACAGGAGCGAGGCTTGCACCCCCGCCCGGACGAGAACACATTTTGGCAGCGCACGCCTGCAGAACCAGACGGAGCTGGATAAACTCAGGAGCCTCTTTAGAACAATCCGGCCTCAGACTCCAAACAACCAGCGGTTACAGTTTACCAAATGAGCCACATGAGTCCTGCACCTCCAGTGGGGTAAGTGGTTTCTACAGAAGACTGAGCTGGCACCAAACACAAAAGCTCAAAACATCTTTCAGCAGGAGACCTTTTGATCGTACCACAAACTTCCCCCGAGGATCTTGTTTGGATCAATCATTTCTTTACAATAATTCAGCTCTTCAAGTCTACCGGTAATCTTCCGTTAAACTGTCTAAACGGATCAAATCTGCTCTTTATCTAAGCTTTGATGCTTTTAGAACTAAAGGACGGACTCCTCTGCACATCTGGGTGTTAGCAAAAACTTTCTTTTTAAAATAACCTTTAATTTGTTCCTCGACAAGTGAAGCTGCAACAACAAACAGAACGAACGTCTGTGAATCTAAAACAGTCAAACGCAAAGACCACTGGAAACACACTGTACTCAAATTTACAAAAAATAAATGAATAAAAGTTTAGTTTTTTGTCCCTTTTCTGCATTGGCGTTGTCTCTCCATGCACCCCCATACCAACAGAGAGGCAGGGTTTTTCCTC